GTCAGCTTATATTATGGATAAAATATCAATCAATCACCACACTTACAAGATTTAAACAATAGTTGATGTGTTGCCTAATGGACATTCTACATGTCAACAGTCACAGTCTGATATTCTCAAATATTGTAATTCCACTTGGAAAAATATAGTGGAACGATTAGATTTAGTCCATTCTTTCCAAAATCCATTATATCAGGATCAATAAAAATCAAGAATATACTGCAGTAATGGTTTTTTTGTCATCTACTGAAGTATCATTGAATTATAACATTTTAAAGCTAACAAGGAGACTACTAGAGATGGCCTCCTAAAGATTTTGCCGAGTTTAATTTTGTATCGTAGTACTACCTTCCCAGTAGTTCTATGTGAAGCCACTCAATGCAACTTGCGAGCATTTGTGAGAAAAATGAGTTTAAAGTTTTCTGTGTTTTATCAACAAAGTATCGGCAGAGGCATAACTGAATGGCTAAAAAGGTGCTTGACTATTATGGCGAATATTTGAATCTTTCTTTTTCAATTCTTTTCTGATCTGCGTTGAAGCAGATTATTGTGCACCGTACGTTTTTACTTTTAACAATGAAAAATCAATACTTCATAATTATAACATTTACTTGCTATGCAGTAAAGAAATTTTAAATTGTAAAACACAAGCAAGTTTATGTATCACTTGGTACAAACTCTTTCAGTGATGATCATACATAACAAGTTAACAAGTTTGTAAGTAATCACTCTTCTCAAACTGCCATTAAATAATAATCAAACACCGACAAAAAACCTTTAAAATGCAGCTTTTTACTAAATAATCTAACATTTTCGACCATTTGAATGACCTTCCTTGGGAATAAAATCGAATGATTTCAATTTCCTGAGCATATCTACCATGCAACATCCTAAACTCACTCGTGTTGCTACACAAATAATTCAAAAAATTAGAAAAGAAGGGAACTTTCTATGTACTGGACATCCATTACCAATATAGTACAATGCATAGAAATAAAACTAACAGCAAAGAGGAAAACTAATTTAAAATTTCCTTACTGCATAGCAAATAAATGTTATAAATACAAAATATTAATTTCTCTTCGTTAAAAGTAAAACTGAATGGTGTACAATAATCTGCTTCAATGCATATCAGAAAAAAATTTGAAAAAGAAAACAAACTTGCAACATGTAGCAGTCGAGCATCTTTACCCATTCGGCTATGCTCTGCTGATACTTTGTTGATACATCACACAAAACTTTAAATTGTTTTTCTCGTAAATGCAAGTTGCATTGAGCAGTTCCATTTAGAACTATTGGGAAGATAGTACTATGATATATTTTATAATTAAACTTGGCAAAATCATAGGGGGTGGTCATCTCTGGTAGTCCTCTTGTAAGAGTAGAATTTTGATTCATATAAAATTTTGACAATCACAATTGACAGATAAGAAAATTTTTGTGAAAAACTAAATATATATATAACCCATTCAACTGTCCGTCTGTCCCGTAACCGTTTGAAAACGGACACTAGAGGCGCCCCTATCGTGTGTCATATTTCAAACATTCAAATTAACAATTTTAATTCTTATTTAAATTAACAATATAAATGTTTATTATTCATGTGGCCAATAAATTATTATTTGGTCAATATAACAATATAAATAATTCAGTATATTTGTAATAGGAATTTATTATTTTAGGGGCTTATATCTCTCGAAGGGTCGCGAGTAGGGCTATGGCTCCTTTGACTTTATTGTTAATACAGGGGTGTACGGTTTGGGGGTTCGCCACCTCTTCATTCGGAGGGTAAATCTTACCATTCGGATTTGAACAGAACTGTAGAGCATATTGATAGGAACAAAAAAGTCAAAGGAACCATGCTTCATGTAAATTTGTAAAGAACGCCCACTAGGGGGCGTCCCAGGCTACTAGTTCTGTATAATTCAAACTATATTTCAAAATATTCAATAAAAAAGAACAAACAATAAATGTCTTCATAATTCATCCTTTGTAATAAAGTACTGAATTCTCAATGGTCTCTATGGCAGAGTATCTTTTATTTTAAATAAAAGGTTGGCTCTACCAAAGAGACTGTTCCCGAGGCATGTATAAAGGACAAATTATGAAGACATTTAATGTTTATTCTGTTTTATTAAATACTTTTACATATTATTGTCATCCAAGCCATTTTTTAAATTAAAGTACAAGCTTATTACAAAGCTCAGCATATTACATACGTAATTAATTATGCATATTTTAATGTTATAAAGATTACATAGATTTTTGAAACAATGTAGAAATTACGGCATTATAGATTAATTAAGTAAAAACATTTGATAATGATCTTAATAAATTTTTGCTTTAAACTGATAATGAAATTCAAATCTATCCTTATCAGATTAGTAATGTATCTTGTACAATTGTAATACTATATATTTTGGGAGGACAAAAGTTAAGAACTTATTGTTAAAGGCACAAAAATTCTGAATATGAATATTCAAGATGTTAAGTAAACTGACTTTTAAAATTTACAGCTTATCAGTTTAAAATCTTGTTATTATTAGAAGTAAGCATAAGATTGCTTAAGAGAACTAATCGCACAGGAACACAACTGGAATAGATATAAAGGCTTTATTAATTGTGAAGGAAATACATTTTGGACTGTCCTCCCTCATTATTTAACATCAATCTGGTAAAAACAATACAAAATTTTTAGGTTACTGTAATAAATATATGTAAAATTACAATGAACACATTACCTGGATGACAGAATTTACATAGACTGTAGTTATAATAAACATATAATCCAAAATGCATTTCCTTCTCAAGTACGAGTAATAAAGCTTGTATATCCATCCCAGTTGTGTTCCTGTGTGATTAGTTCTCAATCTTATGCTTACTTCTAACAATGCAAAAACAAGAACAAGAGGTAATCATTATAATCTTATGACAATTAATATTTTCAAAACCTGTTGATCTCATTTTCATATCACTTTTTAGAACATTCAGTTGGAATTCTGAAAAAATATTCTTAGATATAATTTAAATTTGCATATTTTAAAATTGAAATAAAGACCATCATTGCTGAATTATTTCAATTTAACCACTTTACATTGATTTAAAAAGATTACAGTTTCTTAAGAGCTTAATCACTGCCTTTGCAACTAAGAACATCCTTCTTCTAATCTCAATGTTTGATTATATACTATAAAAAATGTTCTAACCCAAGAGTTCTCAAAAATATTAAAATCAGAATAAATAAAAGAGACTTTTTAGTTAGATAATCTGTAAATTTCGAGAATTTTATAGTGCAATTCAGGGAGTCGTATTGTAATACATCGATAAGTTAACTATTATCGAATTAAATCTAAGTAAAATCAAATGTATTTTGTATACCAAGTCAATAAAAAAGTCTTAATACTACTACTGAATTTACATACATAAATGCTAAATGCATTGACTATTTAGTCTTCTCTGCCAAATAAAAATCTCATTACAAAATCAATACGCATCCTGCCCAAAGTGAAATTCAAAACTTTCTCCAATAAAAAAGAAATGGCATGTTAAATTCTAAGTGCATATGCATACACACATTTTTAACATTTATGCCTTTGACTATTATACAGATATATCATCTCATAATAAAATATCAAATCAACTGATAATGATTATATTAAATGATAACAAATTTTGTATGAAACTAAATTATATAATATAAACATTCAATTAGATATCACACACACAAAATCAATCTTTTGATGTATTATCTACTTACAAGATATATGTTAAAACATTAAGATTAACAATTAATAAACATTCGTTAGTATAAATTAGCACGGAAAATGACAATTGTTTGCATTCGGCTTCACATAACACTTTTCTGGTCAAGATAACATTTTATCTAGAGTTAAACATGGTTTACAGAGATGAATTATTCCAAAACCAGAGGGTATCCTAGCAGCAGCACAAATATTTGTTATTTTACACACAGAAAATTGATTAAGAATTCTAAACAAAAGTCATAAAATCAATTACCTTTTAACATCTTTCCTTAAATTTAAAGAAAAAAAAACAGAATTAACACTAAAAGTTATTTGATTATTTAAAATTATTGCATAATTCCAAACTATAGCTAAAAGATCTACATATGATTGGTTTTACAGCATTCAATGTTTTTTAATCTGTCAAGTTAGCACAAGTTATCTTAATTCTTAAAAATGATTAGATCATTTTAAAGTACTTGCAATATGTTGCACTTCAAGTTTTTATTTTTCTCCAAATTATTTAGTTATGTTTAGAAAAACGCAAGATAGGCCAACGGTACTTTAAAAACATGCCACGAAACACCACCAAGATCTTCACGGTACCAAATATCGGGTTTCGATAAAAATACCCATCAAATTCTAATCAACCCGTCGACATCAGAATAATCCCAACAAAACTATCACACTCGCTCTTCCGTCAGATCATTCGGTTCTTCTGCCACGCCAAATTTTTACCAAGAAGCAAGGCAAAACACTCATCCAAGAAAACTTTAAAGTACGTACAATGCAAATCGACGGAATCGACAAAACGAAATCCATGGGAGGATTAGTTTTTCCACACCGACAAGACGGAGTCGGAACTGGACGAGTGCCGACTCGTTCTCTCTCCGTAAATAAATTAAAGCCGGCATAAACGTAACCGTCCCGGTAGTCTCCGCCAAGTACCGCTTTGCCGGGCAACGCACGCCGGTGCAAAATATGTGGCGAATGGCCGGAGGACCCGGCCGCGGCCTAAGGAACTAGACCCGGCACCGTAACGCGACCGACCCGAAGACGTAACGCGGCGGGGTCCGGTCCGGTTCGGAGGGCGGCCGAGGAAAGGGGAGACTGAACCGGAAGTTTAAAATCTCGCGGGTAACCCGTAATTAAAACGAACGTAACGTATAGAAAGCATTACGGGGAAAGGACAGTAAAGAAAGTCGTAGACAAGTGCGAGAGGGGTGAGACAAAGGCACGTGCACGAGCAATAACTACCTCGAAATCAGCGGGCGGTACGGTTTGCAAGACATCGGATGGGGAACCGTCGTTAGCGGGTTGCTGCATTGTTCGTCCAACGAAAGTCGACGTGACTTAAACTTCTCCCTCTTCTTCTTCGATTCCAAATCTTCGCTTAATTAACAGAGATTCATCCGGGATTCCTCACATCATATAATAGTAAGCAGAAAATAGCCACGCGCTCGTTCTTCTTCATATCATTTTCTGTGACAGCAAATCGAATTACAAGTTTGTCTCTGCAAGCAGACGAGAACGGAACGCGTTGCCATTGTCAACAGAACTCGTATCAGGCTTAACCATTCCAACTTATTCCGTCGCTTTTATATTTGAATTTACGTTCGAGCGTCATCCTTCCATTCGCTCTCTCACATAAACTCTGGCGGATCGGCTCTGGCTCAAAAATCGCACACAAACAGCTGACAAACCACGTTTGCCGGTTCCAACTTCTTACTTGTGTTAAGCGAACGCTATCGCTTTTGTCGATTTGTCGCCCGCCAGCGACCTCTATCGAATCCACTTAATGGCCTTTTTTTTTTTTTTTTTCTTGTCGATTTTTTTATCGTGTCGTCGATGGAATCTTTTTTCCTCTCCCGTCCGTCTTACTATTATGAATTAGTTAATTTGGTGAAATATTCCGGCGAATTTCTCCGAAAAATTTTCGTTCGTAATAAGCGACGTTTACGAATATCTCCCGCCAAATTCGGACCCACGTGGTTGTCGTCTTGTTAGTTCGGTTCGTTATGTCTACCGGTCAGAGACGAATCTCGGTCGAATTTCCCGTTCGCAAGGCGAGAAATGTTATTAAACGTAAGTCGAAAACGTTCGACGATGAGAATCGTTTGAGTAATAGTCCTTCTAAGAAGAGGATTTCGAATAAAACGCCGTCGGATTACGATTCCCGACCGTTGGATGCGGATAAGACGTCGAAGGAGTCGGCTTTGTCTGGCTTTCGGGAAGCTAAAAAAGCCTTACATTCGTCCGTTCCCGTTCGTTTCTTAGAAAGGGACGTCGAGAGTCAACAGATATTGGAATTCTTAAGAAATTGCTTGGAAAATAAACAGTCCGGCAGTTTGTATATATCTGGAGCACCGGGAACGGGGAAAACCGCTTGTTTGACTCGATTGTTTGAAAGTCGAGAGGTAAAACGTCCGTTCGAGTATGTTTATGTTAATTGTATGTCGTTCAAACAGTCGACGGCAGTTTATCAGAAAATCGCCAAAGAACTAGATTACGAAGCTCGAGATTTGTCTCAGAAAACTGTGGTTGGCTTCTTAGAAAAGAAAATCGTTACGTCTAATGATATGATCGTTCTTGTTTTGGACGAGATCGACCAATTAGATAGTAAGAATCAAGAAGTTCTTTATACTCTCTTCGAATGGCCTTGTCTACGAAATTCCAAACTCGTCTTGGTCGGAATAGCTAACGCTTTGGATTTGACCGACCGAGTCTTGCCGCGTCTGCACGCTTACGGATGTAGACCGAAACTGTTGCATTTCCGGCCGTACACTCACCAACAGATTCTTTCCATCTTGGAAGACAGACTGAAAGATGTGAGTGCAAATACCGAGATTTTTAAACCCGCTGCTCTGCTTCTCTGCGCCCGTAAGATTGCCGCTTCTTCGGGCGACGTTCGGAAGGCACTGGACGTGTGCAGGAGAGCGATCGAAGTCGTCGAGGCGGAGGGCGGACGGAGAGTGTTGAAGGCTTCTTCGGAAAACGGATGCAATCCCGGCAGTCCCAAACGATTATCCGGTGTAAATGAATCCTGCAAGCAAGTTGACGTAAGCCATATCAATAGCGTTTTTAATGAAATTTACGGATCTAGGGCTGTATTGACTTGTATTTCAAAGGAAGGCAATGGTAATGGTATTCCTCTCCAGCAAAAGATAATTCTCTGTACGTTATTGCTTGTGATTAAAATTACCAAAACAAGAGAAGTGACCCTTGGAAAACTTTACAGTGTGTATTCGCAAATCTGTCGGAAGCGTCAGATGTCTACTCTGGATCAGATGGAGTATTGCAGTACATGCTCCCTCCTCGAATCGCAGGGACTCGTCAATATGAAGAAAAGTAAAGACGTGAGATCTTCAAAAGTTTCATTAAAAGTAAATGAACAAGAACTGGAATACATCATGCAAGATCGCACGCTTCTGGCATCAATCTTAAATGATTCTAATATCAATGTGAAAAAATCTTAAACTTTTATTAACATATTGTTTTAAAGATACTTTTATAGTTTAAAGGTGTTTATATTTTATGATCATTTTCAATTATTCTTAATCAATTAAGTAATATAGTGTTTTAGACACTATATATGTGAATTGATAATTTATTTAAATAATTATCACTATTTTAATAATTAATTTTATGCACTAAATCATTTAGAACTTTTATGTGTTTTTAATGTGTAATTATATATTTTGTATAAATAGAATAAAAGTTTATTTTTAAATATTTCAAGTGAAATATTTACTGTATTTTTTTCTTATAAAGCCCACTTTTAGTATTAAAGTGAAAAATGCAGTAAGTTTTAACTAATTAATGTTAGCATTTATAGTCTTTTGAAATGACATGAATATACAAGGGGCATTCAAACAGTTAAAGTCCTAGAAAGTGGTGGTTATTTGTAATTTTCTGGGATTCTGATGGCATGTTGCTCAGATTTTCTTGAAGACTGAAGAACAATAACTGCAAGCTATTATGAAACAGTTTTAAGAAAATGCATGCGGTTCAAGAAAAATGTAACCACGTCAGACTTATTTCCAAATTTAAAAAACATTAAAGCCATTTGCTGGCAGTTGATAAATTGAGTGAAATGTTTTGTAGCACTGTGGTTAGAATCAAAGAGCACCAGTTTCTACCAGAAGGAAACTGTATGAGAAAAATATCTTAACTTGAATGGAACATGTTGAAAAATAGTTCTAAATTCAATTTGCTGTCTTTATTTACATTTTTCAGGAACTTTTTGAACAGTTCCCATAATATAGATGCATATCATAAAACAAGCAGGTAAGGACTGTACAGCAACAATGGTCAAAATATGATTTGCAAATCGTAAGTGGCTATGGAATGACCCCTCTATATTATTACTATATGCTCATATATGAGGTCAAAACATCTATCGCCAAGAATAGCCTTTATATATTCAAAACTAATAAATGGGTTCATCAGCATGAAAACATTCAGGATAAATTTTTGATTATTTAAATAAAGTTAGAATTATTTGTTGAAAGTAAAATAACTTTTATTAAAAAATACAGGCAAATATTAGACAGTTCATCAATGTAACCATTAGAATGGGTGAATAGGGTCAAAATTTGAATTGATGACATTTTTTTTTTTAAAGGAAAGGTGTCAGAACGAAAGGAATTTCATTCTCTATGAGTTGCACTAGACAAAATTGTTAAAAACATATTTTATGTGTAGGTTGGCAACAACTGCTTCAGCTGTTTTGATGTTATTCAAAATTGCACCAACATAAGTGTTTGTTGAGTCCAGTAGGTGGTTAAGCAGATTGCTTTGGTATTTAGTGCTGTCATTCAGTTGTGTATGGTGATTTCTTTGAGATCTCTAAGCTGAAAATTGTTGAAGTGTAAGCATTTTTATAAATTATTTTGAAATGAGGCATTCTTTGTATCTAGAGAAGGTGAATAGAGACATGAATAAATGATCTTGTTTTGATATCAGTCAAGATTTTTTTTTAAATTTTGATTTTGACTGGATGGTGTGTGTGTGGAGAAAGGTTCATTCAGGATGAAAGATGACTATTTTGTTTTAAAAGCTGTTCATCAAGAGAGACATTTTATAATACCTAGTCCATTTTTGAATATTACAATTGTTTGAGACAAAGTCCACAATAAGTTGGGAGCTTGTTGATATGAACAGTTTTATAGGAGGGAAGTTCAGGAGAACTTCCTGCAGTAAGATTCTGGTTCTGGAGTTATTGCAAATGTTGGGAAAACAATTTTCAAAGTCAGGCACACTAGAGAAGTACACACATATGTGATGAGATTTGGTATTGTCACCAGCAAGGTAGAAAGAGTCAGCAGCAGGTCAGACTAGAATTATCCAAGAGTGCATAGTGGTGTGGACAGAAAACTGAACAAGAGGGGTGTCAGTATATCCTGGACCTACTATATGAAAAGAAGCCCCTGTATCCTTGAGACATGAATTTTTGTGGATTGAGTCCCTCAATCTTGCATTCAGATTGGTTTCAAACTGTTGTCATGACTCAATTAGTCCCTTGCCTGTTTCTAGATGGAATTAGAAACCTTCTCAAGCTGTGACATCAATAACTAATTTGACACTAAATTCAATTATAATTGGAGATGTTTGCTAATGAGAAGTATTTGTTAGATTCAAATGTTATTTGTAAATCAACAGGAACAAACAAACACATTCCTGTTATCATGACAGGATGTGAACAATTCAATAAAAATTTACATTCTTTTACAAAGTTACTAGGAGGAAGATTATGTTTATTAAGCATTTTTTTTTAATTTTTAGGAAATAAAAACCATGCTTATCTTCCAGAATCTCCCAAATTTCCTACTCATAGTGATCTTCAGAAGTTGATAATCCTAATTCTATTGTACTGTGGCAATATTAATAATTTTAAATAAAATATGTTATCAAAAACTATTGAGTTCACTGCAATCTCATCACAGTTTTCATTTTCATGGTTCTGTTTTACTATTAGAGTTACATCACAATAAATTATTCACCATCAATAGATAGCACTAATATCAGAACACTTACTTATTTTTTTAAATATGAATAGTGGTAATTAAAAAGTAAATTGATAATTGTAACAGAAAGTCAATTTTAGAATTTTGCACATTTGAGACACTTAGCCAGACATCACAAAACAATTTGTTTTTCTCCAAAATTTTAGTTTTGTTTATATATGTATGCCAAAATCATTACCAACTACATTTCATTCTCTGGATGCTTAGATTCAGGTTGAATACAAAGATATAAAGAATGTGTGGAATTAAATTTAAAGGTCTATCAGAGAAATATACCAAAATTTTGGATTTATTTTGATTAACCTGTATTGTTAAAAATGTATTTATGAAATATGTGCAATTACATTTTGTACAATATTTTTCAGTGTAACCAAAGTGAACACTTCATCAATACTTAAGAGAATCAAAATATGCTTTAATGGAATCTATACAAATTCCAACTTGCAGAAGAAACTCTATTTTTCTAATATACATAATGTATACTGTATATTGTTTCTCTGTAGAACAGTTACTTTAAATTTGATTCAGTTATACAATTACAATGATAACAAGTATGTAGTACATCAACAAACTTTGGCACCTATGGTGGAAAGAGAAACACTTCATATATAGTGAAAAACTGAAAAACTCCCCCAACATATGTGTAACAATTATTTTTATTGCAGTTCTGACACCTAATAGGACCATCTTTTGCATCAATAACATTCTGTAAACATTGCCCTAAACTGTCTACCAAATTTTGACAAATCTGAACAAGTCTGTCATTTTTCAACTGTTCATCTAGATTAGATGGCACTAGAGCCTGCTCTTCACTTGATGCTCCACTTTGTTTCACAGATATTTAATAGGATGAGATTGGAGATAGGAGCTCCGAGTTGTCCTCAAACAAGTGCTGCACAGAGCAAGCAGTACATAACACATGTTATCATGTAAAGGTACCTTCATCAAAGAAGTGCTACATTGTTGGAAGCAAGAAACTGGCCAGTACATCATGATACATTGCCACATTCATGTTGCCTTATTTAATGACAAGGGGCACATGCCAAACTAGCTAAAATACAGTATCATCCAATTATGATGATTCTTGCACCACTGCAAATGACATATAATACATTTTGTATTTTCTGGTCTTATTTTCAGCTTCTGCTGCTCTTCCAATGTAACCCAATTTATGCAGCTCTGTATGGATAGTTCTGATGCATAACATCAGTCAAATAATTAAACTTCTACGTGATGGTCTCCATATGCATTGCTTTTTATGACCTTCTTCAATACCCTGTGGTCTGTGGGGATTATTAGGGTAGATCTACCTGGGTAACTTTTTGCTTATTTGTCCCTCTTGCAGCCATTACTTGATAACATTTGCTTGATTACACTTGATGTTGAGAGCCAAAGATTATCTCTAACAGCACAAATAGAAAGTTTATACAGATAGCACCCTAATTATCTGATCTTTAGCAAACTCCATAGCTCTGAACCTCATGATATGTAAATTGGCTCCATCTTCCACTGACAGACCTTACAAAGGATATTTGCACTTGATGATGCACATCTCTTATGGAATATTCCATTTGTGAAAATTAGGGGTGTCCAAATAATTCTTTCCACATAGTGTATATACAGTATATATCTACCTAATAAATGCATAACTTGAGTATTCACACAATACTTCAGACTTCATATATATATATATATATACCTTGTAGAATAAGGACTGAAGAAGGGTCATTAAGACCTGAAATGCATTTCCTCCATCAATAAAGTGTATATCAATAACTGTTCCTTGTGTCATAAGTTACTGAAAAAAGCCAATAGCTTTAAATTTTTTAAAAATTCCACAACGAAACCAGTAATGGAACATGATAATAAAAGCATCTGGAAAATCTTTCAAACAAGTATTTTGTGATCTGAGTAGGCTGGACATTAGTATTCTGCATTAAATTTAACACATTTTGTTACAAAATAAAAATTATTTTAATTTTTTTTGTTTTTGTTTCTTACTGAACATTTTATAAGAAATTTTAAAAAATGTTTTTAAGATTAAAAACAATACAATGCCAAAAAATAATTTCTGGAATAATAGGAGGGTTTCAAGTTATTCTAAAAAGAGCCAAGATTTCATCATACTTCAAGCCTTAGTTATATGACAAAATAAAGAATACTAAATAATTAATGCATTGTCATTTACTTTCTTTTCTTGTAAGTATATAAATATATCTCGTACTCGATAACCGCTAACAATTATAAAATACACAGCAATGATTTAGAACACTAAATATGAATAGCGTAATCAATTTAATGTAGAAAAATTTTAATGTTTTACATATTAAATGTTTTTATTGTTTTTATATAATGCTGGATACAATGTGATCCCTATTTACAAGCACAGCGAGTCTTCATTCAACATTGTCAATAAGTTCTTGGCAACTGGGATGTTAAACAAAATAACATATAATACAACAATTTTACCTTACACTAAATCAGTGGCACCTAATTTACAATCCGCAGGCTAAATCTGGTCTGCAAACGTATTCCGTGCATCACTTATGATAGAAAAGT